TCCTAAGACTATGTTGACCAATATCAAGGATGGTGAATTTTGCTCTTGTATTTTGATCAGGAGCAAAAGTATGTTCAAGTCAGGAGGCGGTAACTACTGCTTCCGTTTGCTTCCTGGTTTTAACTTCTGAGACTAACCCTTGTGATATCTGTTATGACTAATTTCCTTGTTTCTTCTATCCTATCCCACCTCTGTTATGACACAGCAGAAGTTAGACCTGTCTGTAATAGAAATTAGTACCGATTTTATTTTCTCCTCCAGGACTTTTTTGTTTGTTACTAGTAAATGGCATGTATATTTCATTGCAATAAGAGTACACAGTTTTACTCTAGCACTTCCAGGCAGAGGCAAAGGGCAGATCTGACCAAGAACATAAAAGGTGCCTTGATTTGACGTAATCCACCCCAAAAAAGATCTTTTTGCTTGCTAGTGAGGATGTGGCCAAAAGGGAACCCTACTGCATTGTTGGTGGGAGTGTAAATTTGTTCAACCACTTTGGAAAATAGTATGAAGGTTCCACAAAAGACTCCACATAGAGCTCCCCTATGACCCAGCAATCCCAATTCTGGGCACTTACCCAAATGATCACAAACAAGGCCATACTAAAGCTCCCAGCACAACTATGTTTATCGCAGCATCATTCACCATAACTAAGATATTGACCCAACCCAGATGCCCCTGAATAGATGAATGGATCAAGAAAATGTGATACACACACACACACAATGGAATTCCATACCTCCATCAGAAAGAATGCCACCACACCATTTGTTAGGAAATGGAAAGACTTGGAAAAAAACATATTAAGTGAAGTAAGCCAGACCCAAAGAAACATAGGTCCCATGGTTTCCTTTATTTGCAATAACTAGTTTATGTCTAGGATAATCTTACCAGACAAGCAGAAAAGGTCAAAAGCTATGTACATATGACCATATAAGATGGTGCTAAGTGAAATGAACCCCAAGATAGGAACACAAGAGGTTTTCTCTTTGTTGCTGTTGTTTTTAACGTACTATGTGATTGGGGGGGGGGGGGTATGTTGTTCCCCCTATGGTATATCTCCTGTTGTCACTGTGTTTGATTCTGGTGCCCTGAATCTTATATATACATTTTTCAAATTGGGGAGTAAAAGAGAAATAACAAAATGCTGGAACAAGGATACAGGTTGAGCCATTGTAACTATGAGACATACAAGACACTATGTTGGAAATGAACTTTACAACTTGGGGGGGAGGTGTGAAGGTGGGGAGGGAAGGGATAGTAGCAGAAAAACAAAGGAGGGGATAACAATGCTCAATAGGAAATGTACTCATTACCTTACTCATGTAACTGTAACCCCTCTGTACAGTATGTTTACAATAAAAAAAGAATAAACATAGAGCTTCCCTATGATCTAGCAATCCCATTCCTGGGCACTTACCCAAATGATTACAAACAAGGACACAGTAAAGCTACCAGCACAACTATGTTTATTGCAGCATTATTTACCATAGCTAAGAATAAACCCAGATGTCCCTCAGTAAATGACTGGATGAAGAAAATGTGGGATTATATACACAATGAAATTTTATATCTCCATCAGAAAGAATGCCATCACCTCATTCATAAGGAAATGGAAAGACTTGGAAAAAATCATATTAAGTGAAGTAAGCCAGACCCAAAGAAACATAAGCTCAATGGTTTTCCTCAATTGTAATAATTATATATATCTAAGATAGTTCTAGCAGAGGTTCACAATAGCTATGGACATATGACCACATAAAATGATGATAATTAAAATGAACTCTAAGATACGGAAACCAATGCAGCAGCGACAGTCACAAGACACCATGTTGGAAATGAACATTACAACTTGGAGGGAGAATGGGGGGAGGGTAAATGGGAGAAAATAAGGGAGCTGGTAACAATGTTCGACAAGAAATGTACTCCTTACCTTACTCATGTAACTGTAAGCCCTCCGACATCACCCTTACACTACAATAAAATAAAATTAAAAGAGATTGCCAACTATTTCTATTAATTCATAGCAAAATCATAAGATAAATCTATATAATCTAGTTATAAATTTGCTTGAGGTACAACTAGCAATTATCTAGTATTTATCTCAGGTTATGCTAATCACTTTCCTTATTATTTCATTTTATATTTGAAGTGACTTTAAATATTATTTTCCTTATGCTTCAAATTTGAAAACTAAGCCTCATAGAAGAAGTCAAGCTTGGGGAACTATAAAAGTTTGGAAGAAAAGTAGAAACTGAATATATATGTATATATATGGAGAGAGAGAGAGAGAGAGAGAGAGAGAAAGAGAGAGAGAGAGAGAGATTAAATGTTAAAGTTAGGTCACAGGTCATAAATCAAGTAAAAATGCCAGTAAAGTAAGACTAGTGGTTAAATATCTAAATGAACAAGAATTAGAAAGCCATTGGAACTAAGAACAGAAGGAAGTAAGAGGTAAAGATCACAAGTCATATAACCAGTGTGTCAATCAGACATGAGGTGATGCTTAACAAAGACCTTGATAAGCAGGAAAACTTCATCTTCATTTTCCATGAATTATCTAAGTGTAAAGGAGATTCTTGTCTCTAGAGTGCCAGCATTTCTACAAATGGAACATGTGAAGGCTGTAATTCTGCAACCCATCCAATTGGGTCATTGCCACAAAAATGAGCAGTTTTGACTTCATTGCTTGTATTTAACACCTATGTCAAGAAATGACTTGCCATTGAAAATCCCCTTAAGTCCAAGTTTCTTTTTAGCAGCTCCATTACATAATGGGCTCCTAATTAGAAATTTTTAAACATCAGAAGTATGGCATTATTGATCCCCTGCTGGGGAAACTATTAGTCTCATTAAGACAAAAGAAAACCAACAAAGAATGGTTTCCAATTTGGCTGTTTTCAATTTTGATTTTAAAAGAAGCATGTCTAGCTGCTATATTTGTGTATGATTTTTTTTTGATCAGTTGTTGGCGTCAATTGGCCAAAAATTTGTGGAGAAGTTTTGCATCGGTGTTCATCAGAGAAATGAATCTATAGTTCTCTCTCTTTGATGAGTCCCTGTCTGGTTTTGGGATGAGGGTTATAATGGGGAAGTTCTATGTTTATTCTTTTGAGGATCTTCCATACTGCTTTCCGGGGTGGTTGGGACAGTTGACATTCCACCAACAGTGTTAATAGTGTTCCCTTTTGGCCACATCCCCTCCAACATCTGTTACTATCTGTTTTCCTGATAATGACCACTCTAACTTGAGTAAGGTGGAATCTCAATGTAGTTTTGATTTGCATTTCTTTTTTTTTTTTTTTTTTGGTCAGTCGTGGGGTTTGAACTCTGGGCCTGGGCGCTGTCCCTGCGCTCTTCAGCTCAAGGCAAGTGCTCTACCGTTTAAGCCACAGTGCCACTTCCTAATGAGTACATTTCTTTCTTTTTTTTTTTTACAGGTTTCAAGCAAGAGCACAAGTTTATTTTCACCTCTAAAAATAACCACAATTGACAACAACAAAGGAGATTTCTTATCAAGCATTGTTGCCTCCTCCTTTGTTTCCCCTTCCCATCCTTTCCCATCTCTCCCCCCCCCACAGTCCCCCCCCACCCCAGCCCCACCCGCCATCAAATTTGTAAACTTCATTTTTTGACATAATATCTTGCACATCTCATTGTTGCAATGGGGTCCACCTGTATTCCTATTTAAACAATTTGTTTTTTCCCTTCCCCTTCACAAATTATACCAACATCAAATACAATGAAAACAGAAGTTATACTGTGAGAGAGGGACATACAAAGCAACAAAGAAATATAAATATGTTAAAAAAAAACAATAGCAAGAAAGAAAAACTATTTGAGTCCTTATCTTGGGGTTCTTTTTGCCTAACTTCAATTTATTTGACCATTTCTGCTTGTCTCAGACATATACTAGTTAGGAAACCATGGGACCTATGTTTCTTTGGGCCTGGCTTACTTCACTTAATTATAATTTTTTCCAAGTCTTTCCATTTCCTAACGAATGGGGCAATATCATTCTTTCTGATGGAGGCATAGAATTCCATTGTGTATATATACCACATTTTCTTGATCCATTCATCTACTGAGGGGCATCTGGGTTGGTTCCATATCTTAGCTATGGTAAATAATGCTGCAATAAACATAGTCGTGCTGGTAGCTTTAGTATGGTCTTGTTTGTGAACATTTGGGTAAATGCCCAAAAGTGGGATTGCTGGGTCAAAGGGGAACTCTATGTGGAGTCTTTTGAGGAACCTCCATACTACTTTCCAAAGTGGTTGAACAAGTTTACACTCCCACCAACAATGCAGGAAGGTTCCCTTCTGTCCACATCCTCCAGCATCTGTTGTTATTAGAGTTCTTCATTACAGCCATTGTAACTGGGGTGAGGTGGTATCACAATGTTGTTTTGATTTGCATTTCTTTTATGGTTAGGGAGGTGGATCTTTATTTAGGAAGATTCAACTTGTGCCAAGGAGCCCTAGTGTATCCTCTGTACCTTCCTGTAATATTTTCAAGGTATCTGCTCTTAACGTGGGTCTTTGACCCATATGGAGTTGACTCTGGTTCAGGGTGGTATATAAGGATCTAACTTCATATTTCTACATGTATATAAACAATTCTGGCAGTCATTTTTTCCACTCTTTCATCATTTTTACCTCTTTCTTTCATCTGAGTTCTCCAAACTCATTTGATGTTTAAAAAAAAAAAAGGATGCTTCTACTAATTTCCAGTAATATATATAACAAGTTCAAAAAGAACTTTCCAATCAAGTGCTCAAGCCTGTACTCAGAAGGCTGAGATCTAAAGACCACAGTTCAAAGCCAGCCCAGGCAGGAAAGTCCAAGAGACTCTTATCTCCAATCAACTATCAAAAAAGCCAGAAGTGGAACTGTGGCTCAAGTGATAGAGTGCTAGCCTTCAGTAGAAAAACTCAGGGACAGCATACAGGCCCTGAGTTCATGCCCCAGAGTAAACACACACACACACACAACCTGCCCAGCATTCTGGTGCTTAACACAGGCTGTTTTTACCTGACTGTATAGAAAAAGGAAACCACCCCATATTCGCCACTGTGCCCTGTGCCTGTATTGTGCCTGGTCTGTATTGTGAAGGGGGAGCATGGGGGGGAGCACATCCTACAATCTATCATCTCCAAATGATTACCCTGGTCACCCAGTTATGATATGGCCCCTACCAATATCCCAGGCACCTCACACTGGACAAGGCTTCAGAAAAACCAAGATGTATTCCAGGTTAAGATTTGCCTGAATCAAACACCTGCACATTCTTTCTCGAGTTTTTCCTTTCGTAACTACTCTTACTACATATTCACTATAATTATTTTTGTGGGTTTTTTCTTTCATATTTCCATTTAGTTAATGGCACCTAGGCAACCCATGCCATTGTCAAAGTCTTACCTCATATCTGACCCACAAACAATCAGTGGCTCTAATCTGACCATCATGTCAGGTTAGTTTCTGCTACACAAAATACCTCATGAGCAACCAGAAAGTGAACATTTTTCTATATAATTGCAATATATATTATATATATATATAATAAGACATTTTTGAAGCACTAGGTGATTTCTAAATGTTGTCATTAATCTTTTGACCCAAAACTGAACATTTAAGTGGAGTAAAGGGCAATATTGTTGTGTTCTGTTTAAGGAAATCTTAATTAATAAATAGCAGCCTGAGCTACAAAACATCTTCATGGGAGCACAGGCACAAATAGATGTGTGTGTGTGAGAGAGACAGAGACAGAAAGAGAGAGAGTATGTGTCTTGGGAAGAGAGGGGGAGGAGAGAGAGAGAGAGAGAGAGAGAGAGAGAGAGAGAGGGAGAGAGAGAGAGAGAGAGAGAGAGAGAGAGGGAGAGAGAGAGAGAGAGAGACCTCCTATAATCAAATAATTCTTCAAGTATGCTGCACTGAGTTCTGAAGAGCTGTTCCAGCACCTGCTGCAGGATGAAAGAGTAACACATGCCCTGCAGAAGTGTCATTTCCCTGTAGTTCCATTAAGAGCTAGATAAAAATGACCACGCTAAGCATAACTGTTATGGTTTGACAGTAAGACATTCCCCTTTGGCAAAAAAAAAAAAAAAAAAATGTCTCTTTCGCTGGCTGCCAAGGCTCCTAATCATCCCAGGTCCACCTCCTGTGCGTTGATTAAGCTTTTGCTGACCAAGAGGCAGCTGGCCTTTAGAGCGGGAATTCATGATATGTGTGTGTCCTTTCTCAACTTCTGGCTGAGTCCTTCAACTCAAATAGTCACTGAAATATAGATGTGGCTCCTTTACCCAAGTTGGATGGTCAGGCATGAAAGAAATAAAAATCATCCGGGACAAACAAAGGACTATTTTCAGAGATAATGGGCCATTTCAGCTTAGGATCTGAAAATAAGCTACCTAATACATTGGGTGGTTCCTTGCAGCACAAAAGTGTGTGCTCTGGACAGCTGGATTTGAAATACAGATCCTTTGAAACACAGCTACAGATAGTATGAAGATTTATGTACATAAGTCACAAGGGTACTCTCACTTCTGTGGGGAAGAGGGGTGGAATGAAGAAAGAAAACCAAGACCACTGAATTCCACTTCAACCTGTGATGCTCACTTCTGGCCAACTCTACTCCCTAGGTACCACAAGATGTACAATGGGAAAATAGAAGTATTTGGTGTGGTTGCTACTAAAAATCTATGAATGAGGAAAGGAAGCTCTAGGTATGAGGACAGACATAAGGACACCTTTATGAACCTCAAGCTTAGGATGAAAAGAAAAAGGCATCCTGCTCAGACTGTCTAACACCAGGGGTTAGAGCATGTGAATATATTTGTGAGAAAGCCAGAGTTTGGAAATCAGAAATACAGTTTAAGTTTCTAGGTTAGAGGTTTCTGGGCAACAACAGACAATGTAGGATTACAGAATGTGCTAGGCGTGGAAGAGAAAGGCACAAATGAGCAAAAGCCTTATAAAATAATACAGAGGTACAAGAATTATATTCAAAACTATAAAGAATTACCTTACTCATATAACTGTCAGCCCTCTGTACAGTATCTTTACAATAAAAATATATTTTAAAAATATAAAGAAATATTAAGTCCTCCTGAGGATCAATGGAATAGAACTGAAGACCCAGAAATGAACCCACAGACCTATAGCCACCTAATCTTTGATAAGGGAGCTAAAAAAAAAAAAAGAGGCAGCCTCTTCAGTAAATGGTGCTGGCAAAATTGGTTAAACACAAGTAGAAAACTAAAATTAGATCCTTATATATCACGCAGCACCAGAATCGATTCCAAATGGATCAAAGACCTCAAAGTAAAAACAGACACCCTGAAAAAATTACAGAAAGGAATAAGAAAAATTCTAGGGCTCCTTGACACAGGCTGAAATTTTCTTTAAAATAAAGACCCAGAAATACAACAAATCAAAGAAAGTTTGGACAAATGGGATTGTATGAACCTGCAGAGCCTCTGCATGGCAAAGGACATAGCTAGCAAGATCAATAGAAAGCCCACAGATTGGGAGAAGATCTTCACTAGCCATATAACAGACAAGGGCCTCATATCTAAAATATACTTAGAACTCAAAAAATTAAATCCCCCAACAACAAATCCTCAAAGAAACAACTGCCCAATAAATAAGTGGACTAAAGACTTAAAGAGAAACTTCTCTGAAGAGGAAATAAAAATGTCCAATAGACATATGAACAAATGCTCAACCTCCCTGGCCATAAAAGAAATGCAAATCAAAACAACATTGAGATTCTACCTCACCCAAGTTAGAATGCTAAAATCAAGAAATCTAATAACAACAGATGTTGGAGGGGATGTGGCCAAAAGGGAACCTTACTGCATTATTAGTGTGAGTGTAAACTTGTTCAACCACTTTGGAAAGTAGTATGGAGGTTCCTCAAAAGACTCCACATAGAGCTCCACTATGACCCAGCAATCCCACTTTTGGGCATTTACCTGAATGATCACAAACAAGACCATACTAAAGCTACCAGCACAACTATGTTTATCACAGCATTATTTACCATAGCTAAGATATGGAATGAACCCAGATGCCCCTCAGTAGATGACTGGATCAAGAAAATGTGGCATATATGCGTGTGTGTGTGTGTGTGTGTGTGTGTGTGTATGTGTGTGTGTGTGTATGGTAATCCAGGCCCAAAGAAACATAGGTCCCATGGTTTCTTTTAGTTGCAATAACTAGTATATGTCTAGGACAAGCAGAAAAGGTCAAAAGCTATGTACATATGACCATATAAGATGATGTTAAGTGAAATGAACAACAAAATAGGGACACAAGTGGTTTTTATCTTTCTTGCTATTGTTTTTAATATAATTATAATGCACTATGTGATTTTTTTTGTTTCTTTTGTATATTCTTCCCCCATGGTATAACCCCTGTTTCACTGTATTTGATTCCAGTGCCCTGCATCTTGTATGTACATTTTTATAATTTGGAGAGGAAAAGTGAAATAATAAAATGCTTAAATAAGGATACAGGTTGACCCACTGTAACAATGAGATGTACAAGACACTATGTTGAAAACAAACTTTACAACTTCAGCGGGGGGGGGGGGGGGAGGTGGGAAAGGGAGGAATTGGGGAGGTGGGAGGGAAGGGATGGTAGGAGAAAAACATAGGAGGAGGTAACAATGCTCCATAGGAAATGTACTCATTACCTTACTCATGTAACTGTAACCCCTCTGTACAGTACTTATACAATAAAAATATATATTAAAATTTTTAAAGAAATATTAAGTTCTCAAGAAGGAAATAGACATTGAAAGAAAATAAATGGCTGGATACCAGTGGCTCATATCTGTAATCCTAGCTATTCAGCAGGCTGAGATCTGAGGATTGCAGTTAGAAGCCAGCCTAGGCAAGAAAGTCTCTGAGACTCTTAAATTAACCACCAAAAAGCCAGAAGTGAAGCTGTGACTCAAGTGGTACAGCACTAGCTTTGAGCAAAAAGAAGCTGAGGACAGCACCCAGGCCTTGAGTTCAAGCCCCAGGATTGGCAAATAAAAAATAAATGTAGAAGAAAAGAAAAGAAATGTTGTCTAAGAAACCAGCAAGACAAAATATCAAAAAAGAACTGTTCTATGGTCAAAGTTCCCTTGGATCAGCTGATTTCTTACTGCACTTAATTCTTTTTCCCTAGCATGCACCAGGCAACAAACCAAACAATTCCCTTTATGAAACAATTATCTCTATTTTCCTGTTAATGTGTCTCTTATAGATTTCCCCAGGAGTCATTTTTATATACGTAAGATTTGACTTTCACTTGTAGTAAGTTATTCAAATTCAAATAATTGTGAAATGTGTTTTTATTTAATTACTGGAAATACATTCCATAAGGTCAGATGCTGATTAGAAATGAATAATTTCCTCTCCATTCCTCACTCAGGCCACCTCTACAACCACCACCCATAAACAAATTAGTCATTTTGGTTGAGAAAACGAACCATTACTTCTCAACCTAAGTTGCAACTCATCATTTTGCATTTGAGCATTTATTCATTAGGGCAGATATGGCAAGTGCTCTTTGCTCTTTAGACAAAAACCAAACATTGAAGCATGGAAAAAAGTCAAGAAGAGCACCTTGGCCCACCTTCTCAAGAACTTAGATAAGTATCTGGAGAAAATCAATATCATGGAGTAATGTGCCAAACTCTTTTTGAAACTGCTTGGCTCTCACTATTTTGCCTAGGACATAGCTACCTTCCTTGAAAAGTCAAGATGTCTTTAGCAAAAATCACCAATCTTTTTTTTCATTGATAAACTTTATTTTTAAACAGTACAGAAAAACTGAGCAGTAGTATAAACTTCCCATTTCCTTTCACAATTGCTCTTATTATTAACATCTTGCATTAATATGATGCATTTGTTACAATTAGTGATTTAATATTGGTGCATCATCTGAACTAAAATTTATAGTTTGCATTAGATTCACCCTTTCTGTCACACCAATTCTACATTGATAAATGCAGAATATCATTGTCCACCACCACGGAATTACACAGAACAGTTTTACTACCCTAAAAATCACATGTGTTTCATTCTACTCATCCTCTACTCTCTTCCCTGGCAAATTCTAGTCTTTTAGA